CGTCACAACTATTAAAGCAACAGCAATTTTCCCAGACACCCACTGGATGAACTGTGCCTAGAACCTGGTCTTAGAACCCTTACTGTCCAGTGTCACGTTCTTCTCATAGAGCCCTACTTTATGGTGGGGGGATGGGGCGTTCCACTTACTTACGTTGCCAGGGCTGGAAATGTGAACAAGTAGAAAAAAAAATCACACATGTTGCTCAATAGACGCTCATAGAAGTTCTCAATAAAGGTTTGTTAAATATTGTTGAAACAAATGATTAAAAATTGCTTTTAGATTAAAAAATGCATTCCTATCAGTAACTTCAATTTGACTTTATAACATCTTTGTAAGTAAACATGCTTTCATTAAAAAAAATGACAACTTTATTGAGATATAACTTACCATAAAATTCATGATTTAAAAATACTATATAACTCAATAATTGGTATATTTCAAGGTTGTGTGACTATCACAACGATCTAAATGCAGAACATTTTCATCATCCTAGAAAGAAACGCCATCCCTCTAGCAGTCTCTCCCTTTCCCTGCCTCTCCCCAACCCCTGGAAACCACTCTCTGTCTCTGTGGATTTCCCTATTCTTGACATTTTATAGAAATGGAATCATGTGTGCCTGGCTTCTTTCACTTAGAAAGTTTTGCGGATTTATCTATGTTACAGTATATATCAGCACTTCACCTTTCATATGGCTGAATAATAATCTACTCTATGGATATACCAATGTTTTATTTATCTATACCTCAGTTGATAAGCATGTGGGTTGTTTCTGCCTTTTGGCTATTGTGAATAATGTCGCTATGAATATTCATGTGTAAGTTTATATATAAATGTGTGTTTTCATTTCTCTTGGGCGTGTACCTTGGCCTGGAATTGTTAGGTCATGTGGTAACACTACATTTCATCTTTTGAGGAGCTTACAGATAGTTTTCCAAAATGACTACACCATTTTACATTCCCACTAGGAATGTATGAGGTTTCCGATTTTTCTTTCCCAGCACGTATTATCCGTCTTTTTGAGTGTAGCCATTCTGGTGAACGTGAGATGGTCATACTCTCATTTTACAGGTAAGAAAACTGAAGGTGCATTATTTGCCAAAGTTGGTAGAGCTACTAAATAGCCAAACTAGAGCTTTTCTTACGGAAAGGCAAATGTTTGATGCATACTCTGTGTGAGGCATTACGTCTTTTGCTCTTAAGTTGTTTAATCTTTACAACTATCTGTATCAAAGGTACTATTATTGTGTTTATTTATAAATGAGTACAAGGCCAGGACTAGGCTTGGAGTGCAGCTAGAGAGGTACTTAGGGCACAACATTTAAGGAGACATTACTCTCAGGTTCCGACCAGCACTTCCACGATTCTGACGGTATCTCCTTAAATATTGCATGCTAGGTGCTTCACTGACCTCATCTTAATCCTGGTCCTATTTGAAGAAACTGAGCCATACGAAGATTGGGGTAACTTATGCAAAGTTTCCAAACTAGAAAGTAGCAGAGCTGGTATTCAGACTCCAGAAAACTGGCCTCTGGGTCCATGCCATGAACCACTAGCCTGCACTGACTCCCACATCTCTGATCTGCAAACTGTGCCTTTTCCATTGCTGTCTCAAGACATAACTTTCAGAAATTAGCCAGTGCTTTGGCAAGTGGAACACCCAAAGTAAAATTCGAGAGATGGGTTTTGGGGAGACTAAGCAGAACTACTCAACAGCCCCCACCCCCTCTGCCCCAGGCACCTACCACATGATTCTCCTGGAGGGGTCAACTGGCCACACATATTCCCTTGCCACATCTGTACTTATCACAGCTCTGCATAAATCTGCCCAGTTCCATGGAGGCCCCCCTGCAAGCGGCCAGATGGACTCTGTCCTGTTGGAGAAGAGGCCATTCAGACCTGTCAGGATTATTAGCTCTGACCAGCTGCAAGGAAAACAAACGTTCTGCTGGCCAAGCCAGAATGAATCTGCCACTTGTCCAAATGTTCTGAGTCAAATACTTGGAAATCAGATCTCTCATAAACACACCCTATTTGGTTGCTCATTCTCTTTGGTCTTTTAGAATTAACTGGTCATTTGCATTCATCTCCTCACCTTTCCAATGATGTTGCTGTGTCCGTGGGTTTTGAATGGTTCTTCAATTTAAGCAGAGCCTTCCACAAGGCAATATGAATACAAAAATATACATTGGTGCTTGTATATGTTACCCCCCTCAGGGATGATGGCAGCCTTTGGGAAGATGTTTACACAAGTCATCAGCTGACAGCAGGTTCTTCTGCTCCCCATGAGGAAGCCCAAGTCAGTCTTGGTTCATCAGTGCTCCCTGAGTGAGCTACAGCAGGGCAGCCTGTCCCAGGCCAGCAGATCTTTTGTATCTGCCTCAAACTCAGAGGTTTTCGGTTTGAATTTCACTGCCATTTTTCTCTATTAAAAATGATAATTTGCAGTATTGAATTTTCACCCTTTTGTTTGGAATTTCTATTTTATTCTATGACTGATTCTCAAAGCTGTGGGTCTGTGGACCAGCAGCATTAGAATCTCCCAGGAGCTTATTGGAATTGCAGACTCTCAGGCCCCACCCTAGAGGTCCTAGATCCATAATTTGCAGCTTAACATGATCCCAGGTGATGCCTGTGAACGCTCATGTTTGAGAAGTGCTACTCCACATGACCATTTCTCTGTTCCCTTCAGCTAGGGTCTCCATCCAGTACTTACTTTGAGGCTAGTACTTTTGGTAGACTTTCAGATCTTAAAAAAGCACACACATACACAGAAATTCTTTCCTTTCCCTTTGCATGATGTCATTCATTTTACCTGGCCTGCCATAAGAAAGAAAGAGGCAAATTACATCCAAGTTTTATATACATATATATATGTGACTAACTTCTTAATTGCATCTCTTAAAGCCCCCATCATTAACAGAGTCCCAAGTGTTGCCAAGATTAATTGAGAAAGACCTAAATGCAAAATAAACACTGTGGCGTGGTTTAATTCCCTATCAGCTAAGAATGAAGGCACAATTAGTAATAAAGATGTTAATAATTAGTTGTGGTCTATTAAATTTTATATTCAGTGATTATGTGGAGAGTGAAGAAAGAATTTTCTCATGAGGGCAGAAATCAATGTTTCACCTTGATTGCTATTTTAATGTGCTTATTTTAATGGGGCCATCCTGTAGAAACCCTTGGGCACATTTCCAATTTTACGTAAATGTAGAATTAATTACTATGGAAGCATATAATTTTAGAGTTGGAGCGACCTTGGCGGTCATTTAATCCAGCTCAGTCATCTTACAAGTAGTAAGAGTTAGTTGACTGACTTAAGTCTTTCCACAGAGATTTGGAACCTGTGCTGCTCAACTCTAACGCCATTGAAGGTGAAACCTTTCCACATCCCTCCAGACAGAAGTGCTTTTCCTTGCTTCAGAATTCCCCAAAGTAACATTTATTGTATGCGGCCCTTAACCCCACCCTGCGTTGTGATCTAGGTACTTTCAGTTGTAAGGTTGGGGTCTTGAAAACTATGGATGATTAATTTTTTTCCTTTTTTGAGATGGAGTTTCACTCTTGTTGCCCAGGCTGGAGTGCAATGGCGCGATCTCAGCTCACTGCAGCCTCCACCTCCTGGGTTCAAGTGATTCTCCTGCCTCAGCCTCCTGAGTAGCTGGGATTACAGGCATGTGCCACCACATCCAGCTAATTTTTGTATTTTTAGTAGAGATGAGATTTCTCCATGTTGGTCAGACTGGTCTAGAACACCTGACCTCAGGTGATCCACCCGCCTCGGCCTCCCAAAGTGCTGGGATTACAGGTGTGAGCCACCGTGCCCAGCCTATGGATGATTAATTTTTATATTTCTTTATCATTGCTAGCTCTGTGTATTGCATACAGTAGTTGCATAATAAATGTACATGCAGTGGTGTTCTGGAGCTGGTCTTTACCTGCTCACCAGAGTTCATTGTGTCTTCACGTTGGTAGCTTGATATCAGCCATGGTGGAAGTATGTACACCATAGGAGTGGGCACATGCTACAAATCAGGGCTTCTACCCTGTCCTGCCCAAGCCTCCCACCACACCCCACCCCAGGGCAGTGGGTCTTTACCAAAATCTAAAGATCTAAACCAGGCTTGCCCAACCCACGACCCTTGGGCCTCTTGTGGCCCAGGATGGCTTTGAACGCAGCCCAACACAAATTTGTAAACTTTCTTAAAACATTATGAGATTTTTTTGCAATAAATATTTTTTAGCTCATCAGCTATTGTTAGTGTTAGTGTATTTTATGTGAGGCCCAAGACAGTTCTTCTTCTTCCACTGTGGCCCAGGGAAGCCAAAAGCTTGGATACCCCAATCTAAACCAATGTAAAGATGGCCATTTACCCATCGCTTAGCATGGGCTGCTTCAAGAGTGATGGAGGAGCCAAGTGCTTAACCCCCTTGAAGATTTTCAGGATTAAAGTCAGTGCAAGTCAGTCCTTGGGAATTGCACTAGAATTTGGTTGCAGTCCCAACCAAATTCTGCTACCAAATTCTAGGTTCCACTACCTAGAAAAGCTCTTGGAGTATGAATGGTAAAGGGACAGGGTCTGAACTACTACAGATCATTGAATGGGGTCTGAAATACTACAGCTAGCAAAAATCTATATTTAGCCACTTCAGTGATTCCCAGTGACCTACAAAAATGCCCAGACTTTGCATAAAAATTACACAATGACCACGGTTTACTGTTCTAACCTCATTTCCAGCCACTCGCATCATCCACTGTTCATCCTCCGTTGATTCCCTCCTTCATTCTACTTTCCAGCCTCTGTGGAGTCTCCATTTCAGCCTCCATGATGGTCCCTTCTTCTAAAATGCACCCCCCTACCTCCCAGTCCTACCATAGCCCCTTCCCCAAGCTTCCGTTCCTGCCTGGTCCTCTCTACCATGGACCAGAGCTTCCGAGTTAATGTGAAAATTCATGCAACTCTTATCATGTCTTCTCTTGTCTATCTCTCTTTAGGAGCAGGACCCGAGGTCCCATTGGCCCTGGCAAGTATGGCTATGGGAAGGCTCCATATATCCTACCACTGCAGACAGACACTGCACACATGCCACAGAGGCTCCGGAGACAGAAGCCCTCATCCCGGCACTCCAGGTCCCAGGGGGCATCATCTGCTAGGCTTGGCTACAGCTCACCAGCCCACCCGGTCCCCCAACATGGGCCTTTGTACCAAAGTGACAGTGGCCCTCGCTCTGGACTGCAGGCTGCGGAGGACCCCATCTACCAGCTGCCTTTGACCCATGATCAAGGCTTCCAGGCAGCTTCAAGTCTCTTTCACAGCCCGGAAACAAGCAACAACCATGGTGTGGGGACCCACGGGGCAGCTCAGAGCTTCTCTCAGCCTGCCCGATCTACAGCAATCTCATGCATTGGGGCCTATCGGCAGTACAAGCTGTGCAACACCAACGTGAGTACACACAACCCGTACTGGGCCTGGAAACGGCTGCCACTCTTCTTTCTGTCCTTTAGCACTAAGTATGGTGAAGACAGCAAGGGTATGGTGTCTGGGCCATGTTAACACACCTTTTAATCTTCCTTCTTTCTCTTTTCTTTCCATGTATTCTCCATTCTCCCCGCAAATTATTTTTTTAAAGTCATTGCTTTAGTAACTTACACATTGCTGCTTGAATTGCTTATTGACAATCGCCTAATGGTGGTTTAATTATTAATGGCTATTGCTGCCCCAAATTCTCAGTGACTCATAATATTTATTCTTTGCTCAAGTGCAATATGTAAGTTTCCCAGAGGTTCTCAGTTCTTCCAGGTGTAAACACTAGGGATTGTAACATGAAGCAGTCTGAGAATGAAGTTGTGAAGAGTCTTCGCACCCCCCCCCTTTTTTTTTTTTTTTTTTTTTGAGGTGGAGTCTTGCTGTGTAGCCCCAGCTGGAGTGCAGTGCTCTGCTGTGATCTCGGCTCACTGCAACTGCTGCCTCCCAGGTCCCAGTTCAAGCAATAATCCTGCCTCAGCCTCCCGAGTAGCTGGGATTACAGGCGTGTACCACCATGCCCAGCTAATTTTTGTATTTTTAGTAGAGACAGGGTTTCACCATGTTGGCCAGGCTGGTCCTGAACTCATGACCTCATGATCCTCCTGCCTCAGCCTCCCAAAGTGCTGGGATTACAGGTATGACCCACTGCGCCTGGCCCAGTCTTCACCTCTTAGGGAAGGAGCTGGGAGAGCTGGGGTAAATAGAAGGCACACATAGGCCTCTGGGCACCAGTAAGTTACTAACGGTTGTGCAAGCATTTTGTTGTTTCAAGGGCCTGTATAGCTGTACTCATACATATATACATATAGGATATCCACTTTGGATATCAGTTCAATAAGTATTTATTGATTTCATATTCATTCATTTAAATAATATCTACCACTGTTTAAAACACATAAGCCAGGCCTTGTGCTCAGCCCTTTTTCTAAAAACTTACTGTTTCATCTTCTCCTTAACCATGAGTTTGCTATTCTCTTCATTTTATAGTCGCAAAGAGAGGTAAAATAACTTGCTGAAGATACCGTAACTAATGAGTAGTAGAACAAACTATCAATGTTATCTGTATACGGTGATGAAATGAATTTTTAAAAATATCAGTTTAAAGACTATGGATTAAAGAGAAAGGAATGAGAGGATGTTAAGAGGTTAAATTTCTGAGCTGCTCTATTTTTCATTAATAATTTAATCTGCCTTAATACTCTGTTGCTGGGTAACAGGACAGCTGTTATATATTAGCTTCAATTTCCTCATTAAAAATATATTTCCTGGTATAGAGTCCATAGAAATGACTTAATTTGTGATCTTAATAATTTCACTGAATGACTGGGTGGCTTTTTAGCTTATTCTTCCACTGTCAGACTTCAGGAATTATTAATTTTCAAAAGCAGGAATTTTTCTAAAGCCATTGCTGATCAGTCAAACAATAAGTCTTCAATGAGCATCACTGCTTGTCTTGTAACAGAGTAGGTGTCATGGAAAATAATGAGAAAAGTCATGTTATCTGCCTCCTAGCATTGTTTTGAAGATCAAATGAGGTGATGGTAGGAAAGTGCTTTGTAAATTAAAAAGTAAAGAATTGCTAGGTTTCATGATCAGACATGCCCTTGTTCCTAAATATCTATTGCTATCCTTTTAAAATGAATTGATTTGTAATATAGGACACATTCTCCCATTGACTAGTTTATCTCTTAATTTTGAAGACCAGACAAACCATAGAGAGAAAGTAAACGAGAGGGTATTTGGCATCTGTGTGGAGTTCATGCCCACTTGGCATTCCTTGCATTGAATTTACGTTTGTAAAGCATGCCCCTTTTGCCAGACCAGTGCTGCTCACAGCAGGGTCATTCTCCCCGTGTAGAAGCTGTGGCTTCCCTGGGTGCTGGGGTATGGCACCACTGAGGAGACTGAATTGCAGGGAATCTTAGAAACTTCTTGTGAGGTCGTGGTGTCTGTCATCTGGCATTTTGGAAGTGGGCAAAGTAAAGCCTCCAATCCAGCCCAAAGAAGTGCATGTTGACACAGGATTGTATAGGTGGAGTTCCTTTCTCTTCTCTGTGACATGTGCACAGTGTCCTCCCCAGTGCACCCCTCTGTCCCAAGGCCACATCCTGCTTATCTTTGTTGAGAGATGTCATTCCTTAGAGGTTCCATGATTGCATATCTTTTTTTTTCATAAGCCCATGGCTTCTTGTGACTTGGGCCACACCCCCATGATCTCTTTAAAGCTCCCACTGTCAGAGGTTCCCCAAGACCACTCTTGGGTTTGATGGTTTCCTAGGAGGACTCATAAGACTCAGCATATCGTCACACTCGCAGTTACGACTTATTACAGCCAAAGGGTTGAATAAATAAAGCAAAATCACTAAAGGAAAGGCACATAAGGCCAAGAGCATAGGAACGCAGACATGAGCTCTCCAGAATCACAATGGAGCCACATAGGAGTGTCTTAATTCTTCTACAATGACTTGTTATAACATGTGTAAAAGCCGTCTACCAGAGAAGCCCTCCCTGTGCCGAGGGTTTTTACTAAGGGCTGGTCACATAGGCACCCTCTGCCTGCTACATATCAACATTCCAGACTCCCAAAAAGAAAGCAGGTGTTTAGCGTAAGCTATATTTAGGCACAGTGAGCCACTCCTATCATTTAGGGAATGGTGGAAACTGCCCTGAGATCCAAGTTCCCAGATGCCAGCCACAGATTAGCTTTGCAAACAGGCATTTCTGAGGAAAGCAGTCTCAGTTCAGCTATATTGTCTTTTTATATGTACTCCCCAGATGGACCCATGTGTCCCAGCATCTCAGCATCAATGACCTCTGTAAACATTTCTCTCTTCTCCCCAATGTCCAGCATCAAGAGAGGACACGAATGCCCCAGTTATGTAGGTATTCCTACTCAAAGAAGAAAAGCTATACAGATGCCAAGCTTTGACATGGAAGAGCTGAGTTTCCTTGGGCAAGTCGCTTAACACCCTGAGGACCAACTATAGGGTTTATGTCAGGTTCTGACAAGATGGAATGTAGAAGAGCTGGCATGGTGGTGGCACATGGAAGGCATGGTGCTGACACATTGTTAGGAAATAAACATGTCTGGCATACCCCCCTTAATACAGGAATGGAGTAAGGTCTCCCCATATCTGAACATCTTCCAGAGTCTCAGCAGTAACTGAAGAAATGCATGGATGAAATGATCAGATCTTTTCAGAGTCATCCTCAGTCCCATGTTAGCTGGGATTAAGGCTCATTTCCCTTTACCCAGTGACAAAACAAGATTGCCAAGAGACCCAACAATTCAGCTGTGATTTAGTTTCAGTGTGATCACCCGTGGGTCATGGTGACTTTAAAATGATAAGAGTGGAATTATAGGTAACCAACTTCATAACAGTGAATTCTTTACATCTTCCGAAATGCATGTTTAATGTTAAGACTTATCTTATGGTGTGATCTAGGAATTTTAAGCATTCCAGCATGTCTCTGAGATTGTTTAATTCATATAAGAGTTCTGAATGTAGACTTTAAAGATAAGGAAGTATTATTATTTTGCCTACAATGTGCATGAGGAAGTTAAGGTACAGATTGAGGATCTGTGGTCTTTTCAAGCACCAATCTCAAACATCTACTAGTGCAACAGTCTCCTTCAGCCAGACTGTAGACGGTGAATGCAAGACTCAATCTGGTCCAAAGCGTTTTTTTTTTTTTTTTTTTTTTTTTTTTTTTTTTTTTTTTTTTTTTGATATTGAGTTTTGCTCTGTTGCCCAGGCTGGAGTGCAATGGCGTGATCTTAGCTCACTACAACCTCCACCTCCTGGGTTCAAGCCATTTTCCCACCTCAACTTCCCAAGTAGCTGGAATTAAAGGTGCATGCCACTGTGCCTGGATAATTTTTGTATTTTTAGTACAGATGGGGTTTCACCATGTTGGCCAGGCTGGTCTCCAACTGCTGACCTCAGATAATCTGCCCACCTCGGCTTCCCAAAGTGCTGCATGAGCCACATATTACAGGCATGAGCCACAGCACCCGGCCTTGTTTTTGTTTGTTTGTTTGTTTTTGAGACAGAGTCTCTGTCTGTTGCCCAGGCTGGAGTGCAGTGGCACAAAGTCTTTTAAACACTCCCAAGAGAAAGCTTTCGCTTGGTGTCCGTAAGCATAACGTTGACATTGATTGCGTGGGGTGAGGTGTTAGGCTGTGGTTGGGACACTGAGATGAGAGCAGGCTCTTGCTTTATGCAGCTCAAGTCCGGTAAGAGGGATAGACTCATCAAAAGGCACTAACAAAGCAGGTCATATATGCCACTGCACATGCCACACAGGTCCTTTCAAATCCCCCTTTAGTGTAAATTAACCTGGCTTGGGTGGAGTTCGAGTGCAGATTATCCAGGCAAGGGCGGGTATTTTAGGAAGAGCAAGTGACAGGGGTCCTAGAGGCTCTTTGTAGTCCTGTAAGGGCTGAGGGGCAAGAAGGAGGCACTGAAAGACCTCTTGGTAGAATCAGATGTATTTCCAGTGAATGAAGGCTTTATCTGCAAGTTTGTCTTCAGCAGTGAAGGGGCAACACAGGGAGGAAGCCATGATTTATCCGCAGCCCTGCACTTTCTCGATGATGGCTAAAAGTAATAGGAACTCAAGGAACAGAGTAAACAGTTAAATTTCTTCTTCATGGAAGCTCATTGAAGCCCAAGACTTGATAGCTAGAGTTTTTATAGGGATTGCAACAGAGGAAAGAGAAATCAAACCTCAATTTCTCTGGCTCCTGAGAGGATGCAGTTGAAAAAAATAAAATCCCTTTTCTGGCCAGCCTTGGCTTGGCTTGATTGGCTCATGACTGTAATCCCAGCTCTGTGGGAGGCCCTGGTGGGAGGATCGCTTGAGGCCAGGAGTTCAAGACCAGCCTGGGGAACATAGTGAGACCTTGTCTCTAC